ACGCCCTTTCAAATGTTAGTCTAGATTTCTTAAATTTAATTTATTCTACAGAAAATAGTTTTAGATAGAGCTGGAATTAGGGCGTAACAGCCTTTGTAAACAATAGCTTCTCTTGTTGGTTTCTCGGAATTCAAGGCATGCCTACACAAACCTCCCTTAGCTCAGTCGGTAAAGGCGCAGCTACAAAGCAAGACCATGCTGGAGGAGGCTGGGTTCAATTCCCGGTCCGGCCTAGGAATTTTTCGGGTTGGAAAATTTCTCGACTTCCATGGGCATAGAAGTATGATTGGACTTGCCACACAATTATACCAATGCAAAAATGGTACAGGCATCGAAAGCTCTCAATTAATAACTGTGGAAGTGCATCTAGAACACTAAGTTGAGAGCACGCAATAAGCTAATATGCGATATGCAATAAGCTTGAAATGCGGAGAAGAAGAAGAAGCTGCACAAACCAACATATCCATCGGGTAGAAGAAGTCTTCCTCTGCTCGATGGTGATGTCGATTTGTCAGGGAGAGCAATGACTTCCGAGAAATCATCGAGAGAAGTCATTGTTTACAAAAGCTGTTACGCCCTATTTCCAGCTCTATCTAGAATCGTTTCTTTTAAATCTTAGCTTCTTTTATGCTTAAACTGTTCATTGTTGACCCTTCATAAAGCCTCAACATAACGGAATATTCTTACCGGTTGTTTACAAGGTCGCTAATACTACCTCGACAGGGTGCTGATTTTACCCCACCGGTTTAATTTCGGTTGCAAAACGAACATTTTTTTAATCTTCTTTCATAAGATTCAAAACTTTACTTTTAATATTCAATTTATATTCATGATGTAAATTGGGCTAGAAAGTATCCATTCGGTTATAAATTATTCGAATTTTTCACTGATTTTTTTATGATACGGGATGATTTTCTTAAAGTGGCCGAACTGCCCTACTTTCCACTATTTTTAGGAAAAATAAAATTCCAATAGTATTCCCGGTTTTCCAGTTTTTTTTCAGGTAGTAAACATCCTGGCGAATACCATGGGTAATATACCAATAAACTTTCTATTTGATCTTTCGCTTAAAAGGTTTATATAGTTAAAACGTGTTTATGGGATACTAATGTAATAAGTCCAAAACATCAAACATTTCATTGGTGTGCCATCAGAAGGACTACTTTTCTTCTCTTAGGTCACTGTTAGTCTCTTTTTTTACAACTCACTTATTTCTTCAATGCTGTCACTAAAATCACTATTTTGACAGCATTGATCGCTACCAGCCCTGCTCTCAAATTCTAGTGATGATAGTTAATTAGTTAATTATTTCGAGGATTCTTTTTAGAATATCGGGAAAATTCTGAGGTGAATTCCTAGGTGAATTACAACGACGTTTTGAAATCTTCAATGTGGATCAGAGGAATATTTTATGGGAAATTGGAGGTTAATTCATAAATATTTTTCAAATGAATACTGAGAAGAATTCCATGGACATCAAATGTTGCGGTTAGTTCTAAGAAAATTATGAGTAGAGCTCCAAAGGAATTCAGAGAAGAGTTCCAACTTAATGCTGAAGAGAACTTTATGAAATTTCTGGAGTATGTTTTCAAGGCAATTTTTTGAGAATTTCAATATCTCTTCAGAATTACCTTATTAGTATTCTGAATAAGGTAATTCTGAAGAGACTTCTGAAAAAAAATCGAAGAGAATTTTAAGCAAGATAATTGATCGAACTTGTGAGAACTACTGAGTGCATATTTCAATCTGAACATTGCATTAGGTCCTAAGTAACATTGATCGATTCTCTTCGTCAACTTTCTCTTTCGTTAATAACTTGAGTACCGTAAAACAGGGTAACATTGATAGTTTTTAAAAGTATATTCTAAATAATTTTTATAGTAATAAATGTTTTTCAAATTTTATATTTTTAAAACAAGTACTGAGGATCCAAGAGTAAATTTGTTAGTAATATGTTTAACAAAAATCATTGCATTTGCACTATATTTTTTTAGTTTTGTGACCGAACTTCAGTTTTATGATTTGGGGTTACTTTGATAATACTCGATGAATGTTGAAAAAAATGGATGAAATTAAAAAAAAAAATAGTTCTTTTAATATGAAACTTTGAATATGTATATAACCAGAAAACATCACAAGCAATAAGAATACAACATTGAATTTGGGATGGCTAAATCGGAGATACATTTCATAAGTGATGGTTTGAGTGCTTTTTTAAACAGGCGACAAACATGAAAATTGTTTTTTATATGTTTGTAAAATATGTAACACATACTTTATAAAAACTGTATACGATATCAACGGAAATACCCTAAGCTACAATATGGAACCAATGTTTCTAATTTGGAAATAGCAAAGCGAGTAAATTTAATCTTTACATAATACTATCAAAGTTACCCGCATTATCAAAGATACCCCGTTTTACGGTACATAACCGTTTCTTGTTGTGTTTGTCGTATTAGATATTAGATAAAAACTTCTCTTAATCGATCTGTGTGCTGAAAATAGCTGAACATGTCTTAACATGGCCGTGAGGATGCAAAGAGAAAGTCGACGAAGAGAATCACTCAATGTTACGTAGGACCTAATGCAATGTCCTTAACATGGCCGTGAGGATGCAAAAAGAAAGTCGACGAAGAGAATCACTCAATGTTACTTAGGACCTAATGCAATTCTCACCTTGATTTAATTTTATAAACTTTCACTTGGGGGTAAATAATGGCTTCGGCATCCATTGACTTTTGCTGGCAACCAAAATTTAAACACTAATTTCGTTGTATTTTTTCCCTAAACACTTTGAATGTTTTTAAACGATTCCTTAGTCTTACAGCTTCAATCTGATAACATTTTTAAGACCTAGAAATCCTGTTATGCCAGGTTTTTCTTCAACTGAAATATACGCACTTCAAAATATGACTGATTGCCGATAATAGAACAGCTGGTTAACATGCAGTTCAAATGAAAAGGTTGCCGAAGAAAAAGAGGCTGCCGATGATAGTCACATTCACCTGAGAAGTTTGGAGCTTTGTAAAAACGTTTTCAAATCGGTTTTGGGCTATTTCGTCTATTCCAATACCAAGCAGCAGATAAATTTAAACAAACAAACTCGTCATATGTGTGCGTGACGCTGAGAAATTGCTAATAGAAGTGTGGACGCTGCTTAGATTGACTAGAATGCGCAAATTCCCCTATGTACATCTGGTATATTTCGCAAAAGAATAGAAACCAAAATTCTACAAAAATGCATGAAATTTCTTTGTCTTTCTAAAGTGCAGCAATTTTTCATGAGCATTTAAAACTTTCTAGAAACAGTACATCTCTTACCACGTAGTAAAATCAATATTTTCGTGGTGTTCTTAGATAATCGAATAAAAGTTGTTCAATATTAATAGCAGGAAAATTTTTAAGGTTTGAAACGGGATTATCAAAATTAAAATTTAGTGGATTGCTACAGATAATTCGATTGAAACTTGAATACATTTTTAGTCGATTGAAATTTGGGCCTCAAGATTCGTTTTAACCGATTGGAGGTAAAGTAATTTCAAAGTTTTAGGAAACATCCCAAACAAAATTTCGAAACCGTTCCTAAGCAAATTGCAAAAAACTATTAAAAGGTGGAATAGGTAAGTTTGAGACGATGTTCTTGATATTTTGGGAACTGCCTGTTAATAATAAAGCTAACACATTGGCTTCCTCAACCAAGCAATCTACGTACCAAGGCATTTCTATGTAGCAATATCGAAATCGTAAGAATTGAATTTGAATTAATTTGCATGTTTTTTTTTGTTCCATCCCTTCGCTGTGTTGAGGTAATATTAAAGTTTCATTGAGTGAAAGCCTAATGATGAGTCCCTCTATTGTAGCAAAAAAACCTATCGAGGTGAGCAATCCAAACCCGCCGTGTGTGAGAAAATGAAAGGCATTGAACCGAAACTGATTTCAGATTGTTTTGGACCTTCCCCTCTAGGCCAATCCATCAGTCCCCTCACATCCCCTCGCTGATAAGGGTTGGCTGTGGAGATTAAACCATTCACGATCACGATCATCCTTCACCCTTTAACAATTTCGAGCAAACACAAGTAGCTGGCATAACACTAGAGATTTCCCTTCTATCACCTTCAATTCCAAAAAGTCGTTTCATTCATAACCATCTTCAGCGGATCGTGATACATTTTAACACCACATTAAAACCAATTTTGTCCCAATAAATCACCTGTTATTTTCGGCTTCAGACGGGTCTCTGCCCGTAGATGTGTGTACACCCGCCCCGGCCGCCAGCTAACCTTATACTACTTACACCTAACACACACTGACTGGCACCCGCGAAACACACGACACCTTCGTACTACCATACGCATCCGACACTCACTCACTTCCATTTAGTTGATTTCAACGCGCATTTTCTTAATTTTATCTCCTACTTTTATCTTAATTTGCCTTTTTGTAACTTTATGCGTTTTCTTCCTCTTTTGGTACGTACCCTACCACCGGTTAACATTGGGGGATTAATTTATGCTTTTTCGACTTACCTTTTTATGTTTTGTCCTCCTTCCCCAACGCACGCTTCACACGAGTTCCTTGTAACCAACTAGCTTACACTGGGTCGAATAATTGTGTGCACGAGTCAAGTGTAATTGTTTTATTTTATTCCTCAAAAAATTGTCTGTCGTTTGTTAAAATCTGACATATGTTTACCACATTACCTAACGTGATTGCGGAAAACCATGAACTGCTGCATCAGTATATCTCACTGCCTTTCTGTTCAGACAACTGTTGGACCCAGTGTACATACGTTATAAGGTGTTTGGACATTTTTTTTCGCTCTCCCTCTGCGTACCTCTCTTGGTATCAAACATGTTTGCATCGTATCATTTCAAAAACACCCATAAGATTGTGTCATGTTTTAGTCATCATTATGTGAAGTAGTCACCAGTTGGGATATTGGTTGATATTAATTCCGAAGTATGTTTTGACCGAACGTCCCTTCCTCCCACCTGTAGGCAACATTACCAGACTATCAACCAATCGAGAACTATCGCTCCGAGGACGATGAAGATCGAGACCTAGAAGATCCGCGATGGACCCCCGGCATCTACATTGACAACGATCTGTTGATGTACTTGACGGCTGCACGTTCGATCTCTGCGTTCCAGGGCATGTGCGAGGAGGATGGTTGCATGGCAGCTAGTCGCGACGATACTACAATTAATGCATTCGATGTTGTAAGTATCCATACACCTACTTTTGGAATTAGGGAGGGATAGTTGCTCAAATGTGACATTCAACTCTTTAGTTACACGATTCTGGATACGACGCCGGTAAAGCACTAGAAGCACTGTTAAAGTGCCCGGTAACGAAGGGAATCGACAAAAAGTGGACCGAGGAGGAAACCAAGCGCTTCATCAAGGGTCTGCGCCAATTTGGGAAGAATTTTTTTCGCATTCACAAGGATTTACTGCCACACAGAACTACGGTAAGTTTATCTAGATGTGGTTCCATTTTACCATTTTACACGATCTAACCCATCCGCAGCCCGAACTAGTTGAATTCTACTACCTGTGGAAGAAGACACCCGGTGCAAATAATAACCGGCCACACCGGCGACGCCGTGCTGGTTCGCTACGTCGACGCAACACGCGTACCAACAGTAATGCTAGCAGCAACAACACGCCGCCAAACAGTAACAAAAAGGAAGCTACACCCGAACCGGCCGTGACGGAATCATCCCGACCATCACCGATCTCCAAGGAGGAGAACAGTTCCGTAACCGAGGACGACATCAGCGAGTGCGACTCGGATTCCAGTGCCACCAAGGCAATAAAGGAAAGTGCAGCGGCAGCCGTAGCACAAGCAGCAGCAGCCGCGGCAGCAGCAACAGCAGCAATAGCAGCAGTAGCTGCAGCAGCAGCAGCCACCGGTGCCACAACGACACCAACTACGACGCCGACGACGGCTTCAGCAGCAGGCGCAGCAACGGCTACATCAACACCAGTTGTAGCAACAGCAGCAGCTGCTGGGGCAGCAGGAGGAGGAGGGGAACCGGGTGAGGATTCTCCTTCGAGGATGAGAACTCGCCAGAAACCGACGGCGAAGGAGCAGCAACAGCAACAGCAGGCCAACGCCAACAACAATACCAGTGGCAAGCGTCCCAAGCGGGGCGGCACGGAAACACCGGACACTACACCCATCGACAGCCCGAAGACACCCAGCAAGAAGGAGGATTCGGGCGGGAAAGGACAGAAATCGAAAACCAAAACGGATACACCAAACAAGGGCAAGAAGCGGGCCAATGAGTTGGATCCGGATGGAAGCGATGACAAAGATGGTCAGAAAAGGAAACGATCTGATGTGAGTATACAAAAAGGTTCCCAAATTGACGACCCAGTACTAAATAGATATTTCTCTTTTGCAGAGTCCCACAGAAAGCATCACCACGGACAGCCGACCCGGATCGGTGTTGGATGAAGCAGAATCGAACAGCGAAGCTGCCACCGAAGTCAGTATCAATGTCAGTGCCGCCGCGGCAACTCCGACGGCACCATCGACCAAGGAGCTGGAGGAAAAAGATCCTCTCTCGCTTGGTCCGACTGCCGAACCGATGGTCACGGAATCGCCGGAAAGTAGCAATCCTGCTACGGCCGTCACCAAAACCGGCGACGACAAGGAAGAGGACGGAACGGTCGTGGCAGCACCGGCCTCAGTTACGGCAGCTCTTCCAACTGCAGCCGATGCTGCCAAACTTCCCGAAACGGAAGACATTACTCCTCCTTCAACGGCAACATCAACACCGGTAGCAACACCTGCTCCGGCTACAGTGCCAACGCCGGAAGAAGCCATGGCTGCCGTTCCTACCACAGTAGCCGAAGAGCCACCGGAGAAAGCTGCTGAAGCTTCTCCAGCGGCACCGCCAATTCCACCGCCGGAAACCGGCGCTGCTCCAACAGTCACTGCTGCCGTTCCTCCTCCAGTACAAGCGCCCAATGAACAGGAGATGCTCTCTAAACTTGCCAATATGAAGCAAGAACTCAATCCTCAAAGTGCTATGCCCACCGATTTCAACACAAAGGATGTGTTCATCAAGAAGGAACCGGGTGAGGAATCGTCCGAGAGTCAACCGCCTGTAAATGAACAGCCACAGGATCTGAAACTAAAGATCGAGGTCAAATCGGAGGCTAAGCTGATGAGGGACCCCGGAACACCCGGACAAAGTGACGCTCCTTCTGAGAGTAAATACGATCCGGAAAACCTGACAATGAAACCTGCCTACGAGAGTCATATAAAGTATGGTCCACCTGAAGACGGACTCAAGTACCACGGTGATATGAAGTATCCATCACAGTCGACGGATGGTCCACTGAAATACGGCCAGGAGGAGCCACTGGAATACGACATGAAACGATTCATGGAACCCGGAAAATATCCTCCGCAAGATAGTGCCCTGTCGATGAAGATTGGTCCATCTGGTGGTCTGGGAGGCCCTTCCGAACTGAAAGGGTATCCTCAGGATTTGGCAGGCCTCAATATGAAATATCCCCCACCAGACGAACGCTCTAAATTTGCTCCCTCTCCTGCCTCGGATAGTAGTAATGCCGGAACACCATCCGGTTTGCCTCTAATGCCAAAGAGTCACTATCCGGATCAGTTGAGTATGAGTATGCTTCGTCAACAGTACGACCCGAACGGAATAATGAAGTTCGATCCAATGGGGAAATACCAAGGGCCACATCCATCGTATGGACTACCTGGAAGCCAACCGCCGTTGCAGCAAGGTCCACCAGGTGGCCCGAGTCACTTGGGTCAGCAGCAACAACAACCTCAAGACTTGAAATATCTTCCACCGGAATCGATGTCAGGTATGAAGACCAGCTTTTCAGCAGACAATTTAATGAAAAGTTCAACCTACTCGCCACTTGCTGATCAAACTCCATTGGATGTTTCAACGTCTTCTCGTCTAGCGATTACTCCGAATCAAGACAGCCAAGGCAGTAATAGCAACAACAGCAGCTCACAACCTCCAATGCACGGCAGTATAGCATCACCTCAGTCTGGTCATCCTGGCATGCCTCCTTCCGGATATTCAGGTCATCCTGGCATTGTGAATCCTGGACTGATGTCCGGATCGCATCCCTCGTTGCTGGGATCGAATTCTTCTCCGATACCAGGGTCTCAATCGAGTCATCCGCCACCACCATTGCAAACTGGAGCAGGATCTCATCAACCGCCTCCTTCATCACATCCATCACAAGGACCACAACCTCCTTCGTCGGGTCCACTTCAGCAGCAGCATCAGCATCAACATCAGCAGCATCAGCAACAACAACAGCCACCTCACATGTTACCAAATACCAGTTTAACGTCGCACATGCCAAGCAGTCCGTATCTGTCCTCTTCCCACCGACAACCGCCACCATCCTCGGAAGGTTCCCGCCTTCAACCAAATACTCCTACATCGAGCTCGGCAACGACGCCAACTTCTACGGCTCCCGGTATGAGCTCTCAGTCTCCGGCACCGATGCGTCTTTCCGAACCACCGCATCTTCGAGATCATCCTCCAACGAGAGCGTCGCCCATCAATTCCCTCCTACAGGCAGTTCCGCCACCTCACGGGATGCTTTCACATCCTCTTCCACTGCATCTTGGTCATCCGGGTATGCAACTACCGCCTCATCACCCACATCTTACTGGGCCCTTAGGTCACGCTGGTTTATTGTCGCATTCGTTGGGTGGACCTGGGGGTGCTATTCCGCTCCTCGGTGGCCCAACTCCATCTGCCCTTGGTAGTTTAATGGAAGTGGCAGGAGCAGGGCGAAGATCACCTTCGGTATCAAACAATCCCCCTGGACACCATCCTCCGACGTCTCTTCATCAACCAAGTCCATTGGCACAATCGCCGTCGACTCCATCTGCTCCATCCAATCTAAGTCGATGCAGTCCCAGCGTACAACAACCACCAACCGGCCCAGGCGGTTTCCAATCATCTCATCATCATCGGTCCAGTTCACCGGCAAACTCTAACAGCTCCAGTCTAAGTCGCGCGAGTCCGATGCATCTAAGTCACCACCCATCAGGTTCGTCAGCAGCAGCAGCTGCTGCTTCGTCCGTAGAACGAGATCGTCAAATAATGCGTCAACAATCACCGCACATGACTCCTCCTCCGCCATCATCATCGGCATCGTCCTCACTCATCTCTAGCCCGTTAAGTAAAATGTACAGTCAGGCCGGTCAGCGATCGCCACCTCCAAGTCATCCGTTCCGGCCGGGTGCATCACCGCCAGTCATCCGACACCCACAGATGCCACTGCCACTCCCCATGACTGGACCAATCCCAGGAATGCCTGGCTCAGTGATGCATCACTCGCAACCGTACCCACTTGTTCACCCATCTCTGTACAGCCCGCATCATCACAATCCATTTTTCGCTCCGTACCCTTACGGGCCTGCTTATGGTCCTGGTTTCTCGTACATGAAACCGGCCGGGTCTCCATTGGATAATCCGATGCTGCATCCGGGTCATCCTACAAGCATTCCTCCACCACGGCCCGAAGATTCACAGATCCACGGCAATGCTGGTGACAAAAACAAATCCGGATCGAAACCACCCCAAAACTCGTCTTCGTCGTCCTCCTCGCACTCTGGGTCGGGCTCCAAGCCACCCGGCTCTGCGCCCGGAGGACCGAACAACGGTAGCAGTAGCCAAAGCAGTAGTGGTCCAGCTGGTGGACCGTCTCCTAGTGGTGGGGGACCACCGGGTGGTCCGCTTAGTGGGATTCCATTCCAGGGTGGTCCCCATCATCCGTCGCCCTACCAGCCTGGTCCACATAATCCCTTCATCGAGAACCAGCTGCAAGTCAGTGGCAAAACCAGCCATATGGATGCCCTACGAGCACACGCCCATGCGGCTGCCGGTGGTGTAGGTCTTGGACCGCCCCCGGGCCATCCCGGCCATCACCCTGGTCACGGGCCTCCCCCGGGACACCACGGACCTCCACATCACCCGCATCCCAACGAACCGGTGCACATCGAAACACTGGACATTGATCCGGATCCGGAGCCACCGTCACCGGTGCACGATATGAACCGAGGGCCCAGTCCCGAGGCGAAACCCGACGACACCGAGTGCCACCGATCGCAGTCTGCAATGTAAGTGTGTCCTATTTCATGAGATTTGTTTATACTTCTAACCCAATCCAATGTTTTTTTTCAGATTTGTCCGTCGATGCGATCGAGGCGACTACAACTCCTGCTGTCGCACGGATCTGGAGTTCAAACCTACTCCCGACTCCAAATTGGCCCGAAAACGAGAGGATCGGGATCGTAAGCTGGCCGAGAAGGAGCGGGAACGTAAAGCCCAGCAAGCACAACAACAACAACAGCAACAACAGCAAGCAGCCCAAGCACAACAACAGCACCAGCACCAACAGCAACAAGCAGCGGCGGCCGCTGCGGCGGTACAAGCAGCTCAACAACATGGTAAACCTCCCGGTGGTCCGGGATCGCTTGGACCCGGTCCCGTTCCCGGTCATCCTGGTCACCAGGGCCATCCTTCACAGCAGCAACCTTCAATGAAGCCGGATATCAAACCCTACCCGGATACGCCGGCTCTGCGACAGCTGTCGGAGTACGCCCGGCCTCATGTCGGTTTCAGGTACGTTAGTTCAATGCTTCCAATTGGCGGATAACACTCAGGTATAACATGATTGATTGTGCTTGACGGCGGGCAATTTAACGGCTAGTTTTCGAACATTTGCTTTGACCAGTGTTTTATCCAATTTCAAGAACAACCCAAGAGTGAGAGGATTTTCTCGTGTGCATAATACCTACCTATAATTGATTTGCGCTGTCACGGCATTAACAGAATTATATCCTTAAACGGTCACGCCTGCATATCGTTGACATTTTTGTCAAAGATGGATAGAGAATGCTACTAACACGAAATTACGATCAATTAATTACCTATGCTATCATCAAACATTGCCCCTATTCTCGCGTGTGCTTTTAACTGATCATGTATGATTATCTTGTTTTTTTCTTTTTTCTTTCTTCTTTTCTCCTGATTTCCATCCGTACGGTTTATTTGTAGTCCTGTGGAAACGATGGTACCACCACCATATCATCCACTTTATAATAGAGAAAGGTATAGAACTGCTGCAGATTTTTCTGTTTTGTATTCAACTTTTCGTATTAACATCTGTTTCTTGTCCTTTTGTTTTCGGTTTTGTGTTTGTAACGTTACGTGCTTATGTTGTTTCAACTTATCCTTTATATTTGTGACATCATTGAATGGTTTAACAATTTCATTTTCAAATGTCATTTTTCGTCACTTGATTTCTTGTTTTTTATGACTTATATTTTTTTTATCAAACAAAAGTCACCATCCTCATCCCTCTAAATTGGTTGTTTCTAAGAAGCAAAATTTCAACCCTTGAATCACGTAGCAATGCGAAACACACTGTTGTTGATGCATGATTCATGATTAGCCCCTGGAAACCAAAGTGTGCTTGGCCAAGAAAATATGCATATGCTCGATCAAAATTAATTCCAATCCCTGCTCAGATTCTATCCTTGACCTTTTTTCCTTCAGAACAGTGGTGTAGTCAAATGGGGGGAGGGACGGTTAATTTTACCCAATTACCTCGAGATATTGATTTTCTGAGAGGCAATTTACTTGGTTCGATGTTCAATAATTCATCGGGATTGATGCAGATTTTACACAAAATGACGCAAGCTTTTGGCAATGATGCGTAATAAAAACTGGGTTTAAACTTTTCTAAAATGCATCAAAGCATTTTATTTGAAGCGAGTTACTCAAATTTGTAGGCGTTACAAGTCCTATGCCATTATTTTTTTTAAGAGTATTGCCACCTCCGTCTGATACCGTATTGACCGAGATTATGGATTGATCTCGCCCTCTTATATGGAAAGTATCAGCAGTATCAACAATCGAGAACTGTCCTGGCCACGTTTTTGCAAATGATGGGAATGGGAAGGATTGTTAGTTGGACTCTTACTTGAAAGAGATCCAGGGAACTCTACGACCTCTCATAAGTGGCACAAGAGGTTTGTTAGTGGGGAGAGTAGTCATAGGATACGTTCAGTAAATTGCTGTCAGATTTGTAATAGCAATGGGGATAGAATAAGGCAAAGTGAAAAAAAAATGCAAGGGAGGGGACCGGTCTGGGATTGAACCCCCGACCTTCTGCTCAGTAAGCCAAAACGGTAACCTCATAATGGGGTACCGAGCTCGACAAAAAAAGGCATCAAAGTGAATTGCACCAATAATCCCTTGAAGTTTTGATGATTTTGGTATTCACAATGTTACCCAATTGCCCTGGCAGTTGTTTAAACTTTTTAAGTATATTTGCGTGGTGTTCAGTGAGGTTTCTTTCACTTTCTGAGGAAAATACTTAAATAACACCATCAGAGAGATTTCCTTTACATTTTTAGCAAGATTTTTGAACTTTGTTGATGTAAGCATATTAAGAAAACTGGCTTATTATTTTTTGGAACGTAGCTATTATTGTTTCAACAACGAAACTTATATTTATCTGAATTCCACATATGATATGTGTGTGCTAACATGAATTCTTTGTGTTTTTTCTTTTACATTTCTGTCAGCACAACATACTCATGTGATTCAGTGATAGAATTTGCAGTAGACTGATGCAAATTTTAAAATTTGTGATCGAAAGATAGAGTAAAATGGCTTCAAATTTGGTCCTGATCATCCCAAAATTTGAAGTCAATTGGTTCGCAACTGAGTTGCAAAAATTCAAGTCCGGAGAACTTCGAGATTGGGGCGTAATTGCTTTTGTAAACAAACACGCCAATCACCGATTTCTCGTGAATTAAAACTCAATCTCTAAAACTAACAACACAAACAGGTTGAAGAATGACTCCTCTATCATTATTTGATATAGTTTATTTGCGGGATTAAGCTTTTATTCGCATGCAATCGGCGATTGACGTGTTTGTTTATAAAGACAATTGCGCCCAAATCTCAAAGCTCTCCGGAAGTCGTCGTTGAAGTTTATATGGAAATAGCTAAATTTAAAGGCTATAAAGGCATGAACAAAATGTTTGTTTTTTTTTTCAGTAATTTCAATAGCGTAAGGTGGGGCAAGACGTGTCACTGGGTAAGATGGGCCATCTACTTGATTTATTTTTTTCAACATCAACAGGCTGGTTTGAAAAGGCTAAGCATTAATGGGGTTGCAGTGAAGCTGCTATTATTGAAAAAAAAAATACTAACGCATCTTGCCCCTGTAAAACTTTATATTCTAACTGTGTGATAACTTTTTTGCGTGTAGAAGAACAACATTGTTAAAAAAAAAGAGAAAATACGCAAACCCTTGCACAATGGACAAAAATTAACCAAACCGCGACTTAATTGAATGGCTGGATGACAGTTTCTGCCAACATGTTACATCTAACGGGTGTTCAATAAAAAATGAGAATTTTTCTCAGTCATATAGCTAGTAAAAAAAAAAATCAACGAATTCAGTATTTTTTATTAAAAACATAATGTTTATCCTTCAAAAAAACGTCAATGAATATTGGAGAAGGGGCCCTGGTCAGCCGTATGACGCAACTTAGTCGCGATGCTCTCACAAGAGCGCTGGACGGCACTAACGTCCATCTTCCGGATACAATTCCGGATCCTTGTGGTCAACTGGTCAACGTATCCTTGGCCCGCCAATTATTTTTTTTACACTAGGGCACTGAAGGAGCCCAAAAAAAAACCTCAATGGGACGGCACTGGGGCAAGTTGGTCGAGTTCCTTTCCTTCGGCACGTACGGTATCTTTTTCTGCTCAAGATACTCCAGCGTCTTCTTGGCGTAATGGGAAGACGCCTTGTCCGGCCAGAAGACGTACTTCCCATCCGCATGATGCTTCTTTAAGAACGGCAGAAGAATTTTCTCAATCCCTCTGTCCGATGTGGCGATGTACAGCATAACTTTTTTTTCAAATTTATGCTTAAACTTATATTTTAATTCGGGGGGTGTGGCCGACTTGTCGCTGTCATTTCCTGGAATGTGGGTCTTCGAGAGCGGAAAGTAACTTTCGTCGTCCAGCATGAACTACGCCCCGCGGTAGTTCTTTATCATCCACAGGCACTGCGATTTCACGGTCGCTATCGCCTCGGCCGTGTACTCGAGGGACCGAGTCTTCTTCCGACAGATGATGTCGAACAGCTTTTTCAACGCTTCCTTCTTCTTCTTCGTCATTATCTTCGCCGGACGGCCGCTACCGGCTTTCCGCTCCACGCTCAGGGATGCCAGGATACGGTAAACTGTACTCACGGGCACGTTTTCGTCTCGAAAGTGGTCTACCGTAAACTTTTTTCCACGATGACCATGCGTTTCGTAAAACCGTACAATACGCTCGCGGAGTGCTTTGCTGTTTCGACGCCATCTTCGATTGAACTGACAGCACCCGAGCGAAAAGAAACATGCCACCCATTTTTAGGGAGTCCAGAGAGCAATTTTCTTGGAGAGAAAAAAAAAATTACGCTCTTTACTTTAATTACAGAAAGGTATTGAAATCATTCTCATTTTTTATTTAACACCCGTTATTGTGGAAGGAAAAACTTTGCTGAATCGATTGGTGGTAGTTCCATTGGCCGGAGGCTGTCCCCTGCCGTGGTATAATGCCGTGATCAACCCAGGGGCACGCAATACCCAAAACCGGTGTGTCGGAGTTAAAATGCCCGCAAAAGTACTTAACCGTTGCGTGCCTAACGTTTGAATTTGCATCGATTTTAAAACTCAATCAGCTCTAAAAACATAGTCTCTCAATATTTTTCTGCACAACAAGTTGCGTTTTGTCGAGTTTTTGAATCGATCTGAAAAAAAAAATTGATTAATATATGGTTCAAGAGTTATTTCGGTTTTCGTTGGGGTCACTCGGAGTCGGAATTCGCCTTTACTGTTCTGTAATAATTATACACACGCTGAACATAATACCAATGGCAGCTATAACGATGATCAATGATCACATTGGGTATCACGGAAAAGTTCCGGAGCTCTCGAGGAAGTGGCCAATTCTCAACAAGATTTCAAAGTCGTTTCCGCGGACTGTCACGAAGGCCATTACAAGCCGAGTTTTGTAAAATCATGAAGGTTGATGTGCCGCACGACGCGTTTTAATTATTCTTGAGAATTGGGCACTTCCCCGAAGGCACGAGAACATTTCCGGGATGGCCAATGTGACCGTGGCAATCTCAATAAAGCTATTACCCGCAAAGTTTTGAAAAAAAAAAATATGAAGATTGATATGTCGCATGACGGCTTTTGGTTCTTGTCGAGAATTGACCACTTTCCCGGAGGCACCGAAATATGCCCAGGAGAGCTAGTGTGTCCGTGGACTGACAATAAGGCCATTACCGGCCAAGTTTTGTAAAATAATAAAGTTTGATATGTTGCACGACAGGTTTTGGTTCATGTTGAGAATTGGCCACTTCCCGGGGGCACCGGAACTTTTCCGGGATGCCCAATATAGGTTATAGATCATCGTTATAGGAACCATTGGTTCAATTACATAATTTGAGTGAGCAAATATTATGATCAGCATGTGTATAATTATAACAGAACATTAAAGCCGAATGCCGACCCAGAGTGAACCCAACGGAAACCGCAATAGCTCCGGAACCATGTATTGATCAAATTTTTTTCCTGAGGGATTAAATTTTTTAAATAGATTTTTAAAAAAATGTAACTTGTGCAGAAAAAGATTGAGAAGTTATGTTTTAGAGCTAATTGAATTTTGAAATATATGCAAATTTAGACGTTAGGCACACAAAGGTTAATGTAATTAATGCATTATAAAGTCGTAATGAAAGTACTGAAAATTATTTTGCCGTACTTAATGTAATCCAAAGTACTTCATATGTAATTAATAAGTATTCACAATCGATTAAGAAAACTCGTTGAGAATATGCTCAAATGAAGATTGATCAGCATCAAAGTAATGGAGTTATGGAAAATTTTGAAATCTTTATTAAAACCTAGTAATTGCAAACCGCGGTCCATAACTTTTAATGGCACATTAGAACAGTCAGAACAAGTAATTGCATCTAAGTTTAATGATTATTTAGTAGACAGTGTTTCATTGATTAATCAATCCATTGAATTGGTCGATGAACCTGACGAAATAAAACAGCCAGTTATTAGTAGTTGTAGATTTGAAGGTTTTCACCCAATTGCATTGGATTAGTGGCGTCACGTACACATGTGCAACCTGTGCACGGCACAGGTATAGATAATTAAAAAAAAATACGTTTAGATTTTTAAAGATTTGTATTGGCACATTATAGCTGTACTTCTTTACTCCAGACCACAAGTGACCATGAATACACTATTTTATAGTGTGGTTCAATTAAATCTTCGACCTTGGTTTGCTTCAAAAAGGATTAAATTCAGTTCGGATGATCTGCCTCATCCCTAATGCATGTCGATAACACTACCATGACAAAACTCGTTAAATAGTGCACTTAAAAGCGAGCTTTTTTGGGTGGCGGGTGGTAAGTTTGTGAATGGTCAAATGCCTGATGTAAGACAAGCAGACCTTCTATCACGTCTTGAAACAGACCACAAATTTTCCACAATACATGGCGGTTTGATCCACTAGTTGTAATTGAAGCTTTCAGCAGTCACGCGTCAAACGGGAGCAACACGGAAACAGCAGTCTGGTACGCTTTGGACGTTATCATACTTGCAGACCGGTATGAATGTGTGAGTTTAAATTATGAGAACATTTGTGATGTATGGGTGCCCAAAGCGTGCATTTCTCGCTGTGCACTTGGATATCTGATTGCAGACAAAGAGAGTAAAGCTTGGTTTAGACTAGGCAAGTCAAATGATCAACTCAGTTGAATTCAATTGGCTTGAAAAGTTGAGCCTGGTTCAAACTTTTTTCAATTCAAGTGAGTTGATCAAGTCAGTTGAATGGCATGGTTTACACGTTCAATTCGCGTTCAAGTCAATTGAATTCAACTGACTTGATCAATTTACTTGCCCTGTCTAAACCCAGCTTAATGGAAAAAGAGAGCGCAAAAGCTCACTCTCACTCTCTTGTCAGTTGTGAATCTCTCAATTACCGATAGTTGCGGTGCACCGCCTGTCAAAACTTATGAGCTTCCCCTGGTTTATTCTGATAGTGTTGTTCTGATGAATAAATAGCTGATTAATTCAAGTTTCCTACCCAGGGGACTGCGAATTTTCTCTAGATTTTGACACTGTTTTGTATAAAAAAAATGCGTTTTCTCATTTCCAGTTGTTTACAGATGTGACTGACTTGCGATTATGGGCAGTACAATCATAGAGGTAACTCTAAGACTTGAAAGTCCCGAAATAACGTGCTCAACTTTTTGGCTCAGCTCTGGTACTCTCTTCGGTCCCAAGCTAATCGATTCACCCCTCGAAACATAGGAAAAACCAATAACCCCTCATTTTACCTGTCAAACTTTCATAGCGAATCAAAACAAACATTGCGTAGTACTAGAATTTCGACTAGAATGGGGTACGTTAATCGTTTACTTGGGACCAATAGGCTAGTCAAGTAGTGAGCCAATTTAAAATCGTTAGTTTCGTATTGATTGTTGGTACAATTGTGCTCCGTTTTTGGCACGTTCAAATTTTGACAAGTTCCGTTTTTGACAACAACACGCAATTTAAACAAATTGAGTGTAAGTCTAGTAATATTGTATATACATTAGGAAACATTCAAGGAGATTTCAGAGGACACAATTTTCGATCATCAATCGAAAAGGGCCTGCCAGCTTTTGTAAACAAAACTTTGTAAGCCCTTTTCTCGCAAACCGAAGGCCGCCCACGGAAATCAATGACATCATCGTGTAGGGAAATTTAGCCCTTCAGCCCTTCGTGGCTACGTTCTTGCTTTTGTGCCGCTTTTATTTTGGATTTAGCCTTATGCAAGTATGCAAGATATAGATAATTAAGTCGTCTTTCTAGAAAAAAAAAACTATCATAATTTTCAAAAATGGTGTTCTTAAGACAAATTACCGTTTTATTTTGATCTTTTTTAGAGAAAATAACTCCTGCTAAATGGGCTTCCCCTGTTTTTTGAATATAATAAACCTCCTCCTCCTGTAAAAAAACCAGGCTACGCCACTGCTTCACACTCACCTTGGGTTTTCCTGTGTTGACACACTCCCTTTGTATGTTCCCTAGTGCGTTGTACCGGGGAGATGGTTTCTGTTTTGTGTTGCGTTTCCTTTTTATAATTGTTATATTGAACCATTATTATGACATTGAAAAATGATATTGATCGAGTTTTGGCGATTCTCTACGATTAACAGGGACATCTTTTTTAGGGAGTTTGACGAGCTGAAACAACAGCAGGCCATGGGTCAGTCTCGGTTGGAACCACACTGGATGGAGTACTATCGGATGAGGTGAGACCGCGTTTGTCGGTGAGATATTTGGATGACTAATAAAACAATATTTTCTGCTTCCGTTCTACAGAGGGATGCACCCGTCGCAGTTTCCGGCACTGTATGGCAATCCGGCCGCCTTAGCTCAGCTCGAACGCGAACGAATAGGTAAGCTTTCACGAAAATTTTATTTTATTCCTTTACATGTTATATTCTTCCACTCTCTTTTTTCTTTGGTGTCGATTCTAACATCAAAATCTTTACTTCTATGTGATGTAATGTGTGGTACCTGCCGAAACACGCAAAAACTTGAACCATACAAACACGCCTCAACAAAAACCTATCTTGACCTAAAACTAAACTTTGCGCAAAATCAAAACAAAAAAATTCGATCCAAAAATACAATGATATCGATTGACAACCTGAACCAAAAAAAAAAACCAAACGAATGTGGGATTACCAAAATTAAATATAACAAAAAAAACCATTAAAAATCCCCACCAATTACACCGCACTCGGTTGTTGTCGTCTGACGTGGCTTGCTTCTTCGTGTGTGTGGTGCGGATCGTGGCGATCTGAACTGTGGCCTTTTTTCCTTCCATTTGCTCTTACCAACCGTACCAAACCGTACACGCACAATACAAAAAAAAACAAACAAACTTGCAATCAGGCCTGCCGCCACATCCCTTTGGGCTAGATCCGGCCGAACAAATGGTACGTATCAGCAACCATTTTGTCCCATACTTTCTAAATTATTGAATTCCCATTGAAAAGCAAAACAAAAAATAACCTTCTTTCAAAAACCCACCATCCCTGTGTACACTGTTGTTTCGTATGTGGTTATCGTCTGTTCACTTGTTACAGTTGCGCTTGGCCGGTGAATACCACGCTCACTCCCATACGCACCTGCATTTGCACTCGCAACAGCAGCAAGACACGGCGGCGGCAGCGGCGGCGGCCGGTTTCCAACTACCACGTGAGTTTGTATTCAAAGACCATTTTTTGCTCTTTCTCGATACAACCACCACCATCATTCCCATGCCACCACCCACTCAAGTCATCTGTCTATATCGTTTCCTTCTTCATGTCGTTCACAAGCATCAAGTATCTCTTATCGCCTGGTACCTTATTCGATTTTCCGTGTTGAGTCCTTGTTCATCATTCGCTCCTGCACTACCTGTGGTTCTCATGATCATACTTTGTTCTATCTTTCCCATCTCATTGTTCGACTCTGATTTGCTGTTTTGAGTTCTGCTTTCAATATCCCTCTGGACACTGACGACGACAACACCGACACGGACTTTAAACAACTCTGCTCATTGATCAACGATCGTCATTGGTGTGATGTATAGTTATTCTATAATGTTTCCTATGAAATTAAATATACGCCCAAACGATCCATTTTCCTCAACCGAATTGAGCAAAACTAAATGTGACTCCCAAGGAATACATCGTCGGACCTAGCCGCAGCCGGTGCTATTTTCGTCCGTCTCAAGTCGCATTGAGGGACACTTATAGGGAAACCGGGAGTAAAATAAACATAGTGGGTCTGGGTAAAATAAGCACTTGCCGCTTTAAAGAAGTTAATTTTTCAAAATATCAGTCGATTCTGTTCACAGATATTTAAATCGAGTGCGCGACGTTAGGCAGAAATATGTTAGGCATATGGCCGATAGGCATACGTACGTTATACACTGTTAAAAAAAACATCTTGAAGAACATGTACCAATTTTACAAATCTTAAACTTTAGCTCAAAATTTCAAAAAAAAATGTTCAGGGTCCCAGAATTTCAAAATTCTGCAGTTACGACTTATGAATAATTTTTGCATGCTATGCTGAATGCCATTAGGTCGATTGTGTCATACATTTTTTAAAGCGAGAGAGATTGAACTTAGGTTTTATTTTAGAAAACTAAGCAAATGTTTTAAACCAGACCCGAGTATCACACTTCAGTCGCAGAAAGTTGCAACAATTTGTTTATGACTGAAATAAGTCGTATAGAAGTTTCCACAACCAGTTTGCAACAAGCGTGGTACTAGAGGCGTCCATTTGTCAAGATTCCAGACTCAAACCCAGCCTCAGTTTCGTAATTTTTTAAGTTCGTGGATTAAAAAACAAACCAAACAAATTTGGAGAAATTGTTAAGATTCATAAACTAGAAAAAAGAATATTAAAGATGTTGTTAAACATGTTCAAACGTCTGTACACTCAACTGTAAATTTGGGCGGTCTTCTTTTTACTCCTAAGATCTTCAGATGACACCAATATTTGATGCAATGGGTTTTAAAAATCAAGAAAAAAAAACTCAAGGAAATATTACCGACCTACAAACATTTTCTAAGTTTACCACTGGAAAAGAATATTGGAAAAAAAAATAATCGCGCAAATTTAGAGTTGGGTGTATTTGGAAAATAAAAATTATATATTTTGGAACTTGGAAAACGTTCAAGGATCTGAACAAAGAAAAACTTCCAACATATTCATCTTGATTCAATATTGAGATTTAATTGTAAATGAATAATGGAAATCTCCAGCGTTTTGGAATTTGGGAGATGAAAATATTTTCGTATTCGTATATTTTACATTTTGAGACTTTAAACAAATTTTGAGATCTCATACCTAGATATTTTATACGTGATCCAGAACCTAGTAGAATCCTCAATGTTTTTAAATTTAAATCTTATACGTATTTTTTTTTTTCTCTAATGTTCACTGCGAAATATTTGATAAAAGGGGTGATCCATTAAGTACGCTACTAAAGGGGCAGTGGTTTAGACAAGCAATGCATAAGGTAGAGGAAAAACGTGACGAAATGCATGTTTCCATACGGGATATTGATATTTTTTTTTCAGATTCTAACAAGGAAATTATTTTTCCGAATGGATTTCCCCTTCTCTGAAATATCAGTGGCAATAATTGTTGGCATGGTGGATTAATTAAACATCAACCTTTTTTAGCCCTGTATCAACTGATGTTCGTTCTTCTTTGTCAACTGGAGCAATACACACTAAGAAATTATTACGGACTTCGGTAATTTTAACCGAAACGGTAAAATTCAGACTTTTCAATTCATTAGTTTTTAAGCTTCCGATCAACGAAAACATCACCACAATGACAAGATTCGATTACTTAAATAAGGCTGAAAGTGTTTTGAAACAATAAGGGTCTACTAATTTCAGGCAGTTGACCCAGTAATTCATTCAGTCTTTCAGACAATTCGATAATTGTGGCATTCTGCCTAAAGAGCCATCACCAAACAAAAACAAAAAGTGTTGCTTCCCTCTATTTCGAATGCTGGTGACGTCCTTTCAAAATAGCATAAGATGCCCGATGTCCATTATGCCTAATGTATATTATGCCTAACATCCATTATGCCTAACGTCCATTATGCCTAACGTCCGTATGTCCAACGTATTTATACCTATCTTGAGGTATACTCCTTTTAATAAATGTTTTTTTCTATCCCTCAGAACGTTTACAATACCAATATTTTGAAGAATTCATCGCTAAAAACTGCAAGTATTCATTTTACCACCTAAATTTACAATAAAATACCCGGTTCTGTCGGTTAAGGCACGGGATCAGATCGTTTGGAAGTGAATTGTCTAGGTTCGAAACCCCGTTAGTGCCAAGAATGCCCTCTTTGTTATTCTTTGCTTTAAAGTTAGACACTTTTGGTAGTCAGTAAAAAAAAAGCACGATATTACCAAGCCGGAGGCGATGGGTTCGATTCCCGGTCCGATCTAGAACATCTTTCTGGTTGGAAATGTTTTTAATTTCCATGGGTATAGAGTACATTGTGCATGGCACACAATATATAGTTCATGCATTGGTTGGCATAGAAGTCTCCCAATTACTGTGGCCTCCCTTAGCTCTTTCGGTAAAGGTGGCTAGGTTCGATTCCCGGTCCAGTCTAGAAAATAATAGAGTATGATTGTACTTGCAACACAATTATACTAATGCAAAATGGTACAGGCATCGAAAGCTCTCAATTAATAACTGTGGAAGCGCACATATAACACTAAGTTGAGAACACGCAATAAGCTAATATGCGATAAGAAATAAGCTTAATAATAAGAAGGAAGTGTTTCAAAGAACACTAAGTTGAGAAGGTAATAGGTCGTACAGGTACGTAAAAATAGACTTCTCTGAGGTTTGTGAAGAGCTAAAAAGTTCACTATGCACTAAAATTATGAGCTTTGGGATCGGAATTTTTATTTAGTCATTTACATTAAATTTTAACCAATTGTCAACAATAGTGTTGCCATCTTGGGTATTTCTCATAAGCTAATCCTAGTTCAAAGAAAACAAAGAGTGAGTAATAGGAGACGTACCAGCTCACTGTTGATAAACCTAAGTGTGAGTAATATCGCGGGGAAATTAATGTGTGGACTGTGCAATCGGATGTTTTGCTAATAGGAAAAAATCAGTAGCTCAAGAATAAGTGAATGTAAAGGCAGATACCTAGCTGTGAAATTGCTTTGAAAAATACTCAATGATGTCAAATCTTTTTTTTTTACCCCTAATGATAAAATATCATCACTTCACCGTTTGTGGCATATGAGTTTTTAACAACACGCTCGCCTCGATTTCAATAAAGAACATACCTGGTAATATGATATTAGCACAGACAAACAGAAACAACACTGTGAATATAAATTATTGTAATAAAGGGTGTCCACGATGAAATTGCCACACACAAAATTGATTCGCAAAATTCGAGTTTTCATCCGATTGCCATCAAATTTTCAGGGATTGAGAAATAACTATTAAACTTCATTTTACCATTTTACTCGTATTTTATTTACAGTCCATACGCAAATGCCCGCACCTTGGCCTTAACCCCGGCCATAAGATTCTGCACAACCTGTGAATCAACCGTTTTTTGCATGTAAACCCATACTTTCTTCAGTTCCTCGACTGTCTTCACTACTTTAGGTCGTTTAAGAAGGTGCTGCTTCATAATCGCCCAGTACTTCTCGATGGGGCGGAGCTCCGGAGTGTTGGGAGGGTTGATCATTTTCGGCACGAAATTGACCTTATTGTCCGCATACCACTTCAGCACGTCCTTGGAGTAGTGGCATGAGGCCAAATCCGGCCAGAAGATTGTTGGGACGTTTTGGGCCTTCAGGAGAGGAAGCAGCCGCTTCTGGAGGCACTCTTTTATGTACGCCTGTCCGTTCATCGTGTCCTGGGTCACGAAAGGTGCACTCCGCTTCCCGCACGTGCAGATGGCTTGCCAAACCAGGAATTTCTTCGCAAATTTGGACATCTTCTGAGTGCGGACATGCTCCGGAACGCTGAACTTATCCTTGGCCGTGAAAAACAGGTAGCCGGGGATCTGATTGAAGTCGGCCATATGTTTCGTCGTCCATGATGCAGCATTCAACTTTCGTCAGCATGTTGAGGTACAACTTCCTGGCACGGGTTTTGGCGGACTTGTTCTGCTTCTCGTCGCGATTAGGGGCCTTTTGTACCTTGAACGTTCGAAGCCCAGCCTTAGTTTTGGCCTTCTGAACAAAACTTCGGTTTAGGTGCAGCTTCTTAGCCACATCCCTAACGGAGGCGTTCGGATTTCGGTTGAAGGCCCCAACTACGCGGTTGTGATTTTTGGTGTTGTACGGAATACTTTTTCCTTCACTTCTGGGCTTCCGATCGGTGGTCAACCGTTCCTCGAACCGCTTAATCACTCGCGACACCGTGGAATTCGCGATTCCCAACGTTTTAGCGATGGAACGATGCGAGAGATCCTTGTTCTCGTGATGAATGCGCAAGATTTTATCACGCAGGAGCTGTTCTTTCGACTCCATTTCCGCGAGTTTTGATCACAGGACTTTAAAACTTGCAGGATGTAAATAATGCACTATGAACTAAATCCACCCAAATTTTCATTAAATTCTACCCAACGGTTAAAAAGTTAGAGCAATTTCATAGTGTGGCAATTTCATCGTGGACACCCTTTACATCGTTCATAAGCACATAAGCACTGGAGAGCACTGCGCCCAACAGATGGCGGTAGTGTTCAAACGAGTTGGCAGAGGACTATGCACGCCACCGGTGGTTACACTTCAAACTAATTTGAACTAGTCGTTAATTCAAATAAGAATACTAAGATGAACCAATCGGAGATTTTTTTTTCATCTTCGTACCCCTGTGTCTGATATGTGCTTTTCACGTCTTTGCCGCCCCTCGTTAGAGTTGACGTTTCGCGCGTTTTTTTTATCAAAACAATCACACCAAAAGTCAGTGATGTCCCATTTTTTAATAACTCGATTAATTACTGATTGATTATGTTTTGTTCGCTGTGCTGTCATTTTTCCACCAATGAGAGTGCATAACATGTTTGAATCGATGGGTGGTGATCCTATGGTGAAGTTAATGATTACTTGACATAATATAACCGATTGTCGGTTCGTTAATCGATTAACACTCCGAACACGATGCCTCCGATAAAATGTGTAACGGCAAACATGCAATGTTTGAAAAATCATAGCTCAGCCATTAATTGACGAATTTCAAATCTATTGGTGCCATTTCAAACTTCATACATCAGATTTTTTCGGTATCAAAAGATTTAAGATCGATTGATAAATTGTTGAGCAATGATTTTTCAAACATTGCCAATTTGTCTTTACAACTCCTTTCAGCCACCGCCAATCTGGAGCTCCCCCCGGTGTCTAGCATACATTGGTGTGGAATCAGAGATCGGAACCTGCCCGGGCCCATTATAGACTTGGCGATAAAGAAGAAGTTCAAGGCAGGATCCAACTCTACGGCACTTGTGAGATCCGTCGCGGAACTCCAGAGAACCAGATACTGCAACCACACTATCCGGGCCCCCAAATGTCCGTACTTCATCGACTTCCAGACCAGTACACTATATTCTCGGCAGAAGCGGTCTCTGCTTTTATTGCTGCTACCACTCCCTCAAACAAGCCGATTGCCGTATTTACGGACTCCGCAAGTGTAGTTTTAGCCCTCAACTCAGACTCTATTAAGCACTCATGGATCCAAGCCATTCAACGATATGCCCCCAGAAACACTACATTTGTATGGATTCCGGGCCACTCCGGCATTCGTGGTAATACGGAGGCGGATCATCTAGCGGCTTCTGGAAGACGAGCCCAACTGTTCACTAAGGAGGTTCCATCGGGGGACCTGAAAAAATGGGTTGCCAACAAAATCTGGGACTTATGGTCAAATACATGGTCCCAATCAACTAGCATTTTCCTTAGAAAAGTGAAGGCTGACACACCAAGATGGCAAGACCCCCCTGACTACCGAACTCAGGTTGTTCTGGCAAGACTCAGAACAGACCATACCAAAGTCTCGCATAACTTTTCTGGGAGCGGCCCGTTCCGGAAATTTTGCGAGCTCTGCCGTACCAACTGTTCACATAATGTGTGGATGAGTGGAACACATAATCTGCCACTGTACTCAATACGAAGGCTCACGAGAGCTGTACGGCATACCGGGTAGCATTAAGGACGCACTGAGTAACGACCCGACTAGAATCACAGCATTAATGGGCTTCCTCCACGAGGCTGGTCTCTTCGACCAAATATGAAACCTGCCAAAAACCCGACCACCGCAATACAAATGGACTTTCTCTTATCACCCAATATCTCAAACCAAAGCAAGACTTAACAACAAAAACGCAGAAGAAAGACAGCAAATTGACAGCCTCAGTATTTAACTAGAGAGGAGGCCTCTTATAGACCTCCTAACATGATAAAAAGGAAAAAAAAACTTTGTAACTAGATAAGGTCCCTTCTGGACCCCACACTATCTTTTCAGAGACGAACCAGCCAACGGCTGAAAGTCTCTATAATAAATAAATCAATCAATCAATTTGCCTTTACACATTTTACCGGAGGCATCGTGTTCGGACTGTTAATCGAATCAATCAATGTCAAATATAAGGGCCATTCATAAATAATGAAACAGTTTGAAAGGGACCGGGGCTAATCACAAATGACGTCCCAACGATTACTGAAAAAAAAATCACGAGTGCTGACCGGTTGGTTAAATGGGTGATCGATGAACAGTATATGCAGTATTATGTCTGTTTGTCTGTGATATTAGCTGAATATCTTCATTGATATCGAACCCCTTTTTTCGGAATACTCTAAGAAATGCTGTTGCAGTGGTTTCAGTTGTTTCCTTTTAGTTCCTTCGTGATTGCTGATCGTTTGACAGATTCACGTTTTTCGTCCACTACTTGTAGAATTCCTGAGTGCCAAGAACCATCGCATCTAAACAACATATTTACTAATATTTAGGTAGAAAATAAAAACTAACCAGCATTAAACTGAACACTTGCCGTTAATCTAGACGATATAACCAGAAATATAACATCAGATGTGATAAGAAACGGACACTCGCAAAATAAAACCGATATGAATTGGGCAATCAAATTATTTCGAACAATTTCACCTAGTATCTTAGTTTCTGGCAGGTCCTTCAAAAAATTTGGTATTTTGTAATCGTAAAATTGAACATAAGTGCAGTTCTG